AGAAGCTTCCTGCTCAATACGTATTTTATTCAAAGTACGAAATATTAAAACTATTAACTATTTCAGATCTTTTATTTATTTACATGTCCAAAATTATACAAGAACATTAAAATATTTTTAACAAAAAATTTACATTTTTTAAATTGATACTTAAAATTGTAGTATTTTTATATGTAGTATTTATATCTACTTATAAATACGACTTTCAAGTGTTATTTACATTGAAGTATACAAAATCTTATTGGCGATCTTACGAGCTTTAGCGAAATTCTCAAACTTGAGTGAACGACTTAGCACACTTCAAGCAAATTCTTATATTGTATCGATGGCCAATCGTGTACAATTAAACAAGTACATGTACGACATCGAGCACTTCAAAGTCATCATTTCGCATATATTATAATTCACATTCCTATTCTAAAGCATTAGTATTTTTTGTCGACTACTTTACACATAAAAATTAGTAACATATAAAAAGCCAAACTCTTGCGTACGTGCGCGCGTGCATGCGGGTGTGTGTATGAAACAGTTGACCAATTCTATAATCTTAAAGAGACGTTGAATAAATCCAAAGTTACATATTTCAAAATATGTAACAATTAAAAAAAATACTTTCATTTATTTTAATATTAATAGTAAAAGTATCAACGCTTCTTTATACTCCATAAAATCAAGCAAATAAATTATTATAAAAATAAAAAAGTAATAAATATAATAAATATAATAAATAAAAAATCAAATATTCCGTTAATATAAAGGACATAGTTATTGAAAACTCAACATAAATTTAATTAGTAATTTCTGACAATTTTGACGATCCTTAATTTTATTTAAACGAAAAAATATTTTTTTTCAATAATGAATTGGAATAAATATATCATTAACATTTTATTTAAATATTTTTAATCTATATATGTATTTTTTTCCTAAACAATGAAAATTCTTTCTTTATCATCATAAACTATGTTTTTCTTCACATATCAAAGATTTCTACAACAATTTATTAAGAAAAGATTAATTTTCTAATAACGAGACAAAATAACGTTTAATTAAAAGGTTCTGCTTGCTTTTTCCGTGCATGTTATGATTTATGGCGCACATCAAGCATGTATTGGTATTTACTGCAATATCAGAATATGAAGCGTAAATTCGCTCTGATAAAATATGATATCAAAAGCTTAAACAAATGAATAAGTTCAAACGATAGATATTCAAAAGAAAAACAATGCTCCATAGAAAATATTAAGTACGGAATATACCCTGACTATAACGTAGGCGTGTCTACGAAATACATTCAAAGAAAACAAGAGAAGTTCCGAATGCAAGTTTATTGGCATTTTATTCGGTTGAATTACACGCGCCCAGTAGAGTTTATATGACTCCGGACTTTTCTGTTCTTCGTTTGAGTATCTTTCCAACATCTCAGACGAAGCGCCAACTCTCATCTGCAAATCCAAAATGTGATGAACCATGACCATCGTTCTAGAGCTGTTTTGCATACCTCAACGAGAAGATGTCACAACTTGTATCAAAACTTGAATTACTACTTCAGTTAGTACTTCAATGAATATCGACAAGACGATCGTCACGTAAATAAACAAACTGAATTGAGATAATTTGTTCGCACGCGAATATGGATAGGGTATGTCACAAGAAGAAACGCTTCAATTTCAATTGTATTTACCCTTACAAACGAAAAGCGTATAATCTTAACAAGAAGATCGCGTATGAACAGTATATCATATATAAGATAAATATATATATATATATATGTA